AGCCAGAGGAAGAGAAGCCGGGGCTGCAGGGTTCAGTTAGTTCACTTCTAAATCTCACTTAGAAACTGAGGTGCTTCGGATGGGAAATGTCCCCTAGAGGCTCAGCAATTTGAACATAAGAGGTCCCCGGTTGGTGGAGCTGTCTGGGGAGAAGAGGCAGCCTAGCTAGAGGGAAAGTGTCCCAGATCAGGCTTTGGGGATGTGCTAGGCAAGCGCTCTATCAAATTTCCAGAGGTGTATGAGAGGCTGTGTCATGCCTGTGACTGCATGATCCTCACTACCCGGGCAAAGGTGGCGCATAGGTCCCACTCTGCTGGGACCTCTCTGGGGTCCCTTCAGCCAGCTGCAGAGGCAGCTGTGGTCCACAGCTGGGCTGGACTCAGACAGCCTGTCCTGGGTCCTGATCCCTTCCTGCTGGCCAGGGAGAGACAGACAATGACCTGTGTGCATGCGAGGCAGGTCCTGGGCCCCTTACACAACCTTTGCAGCTGCTAATCGGGGCAAGCGCTGCAAAGATGCAGAGGGCACACCTCTGCGGAGCACAGCTGCAGGCGCTCTGGGGTTCCTGCTCTGCACGGATCAGGGCAGTGCTCCCCAAGGGTGCTCATGGAGGTGAAAAGCCCCCTAAAAGGAAGTGATCCTTCGAATGAGCAAGCCAATTTTCTAGATGATGAAGCTGTAACCAGGACAGTTGTCCGTGGTCACCAGGCTGACAGGAGATTCCTCCTCAGCCCCTGAGGTTGAGTCCCCGGGCTGGGGGACCATGTGTTTCGGTTTCCTGATCCGCGCCATGATGGTTATGGGATCTGCCAACAGAGGACCCCGGGAGCAGGTGCCTCACAGGGTTGTTAGAATTAGTCCGTTGTTAGAATTCCCCCGATGTTACGGAGGAAGGTCATGTGTCTAGTGGCCTTTCAAAGCTAGGACTAGAATTAACAAGAAAATACTATGACGGAGTCTGGAGAGATGTGCAGTTAAGAGCACTCACTTTTCTTACAGAATACTGGGTTCAGTTTCCAGCATCCACTCACAACCATCTGTAACTTCCTGACCCTGGTGACCTAATAACATCCTCTCTCCACCCTTCAGAAGGCAGGCATATGACATACAAACATTCGTAAGGATAAAACATTCACACACAAAATGCATAAATATTGCCCTCTAAAATGAGATTGTAAAAATTAAAAATACCAGGCACATAGTAGGTGTTTTGTTGATGGTCTGGATGGACTGAGAGCAAGCTGTGTGGCTTCAGGCAAGTGGGTAACCTCTCTGAGACATGTGAATGTGTGACTAAGAGGAACTTGGGGGACTAGGCAATCTTTGTCTTCTGAAGGTCAACTCAATTCAGAAAGCAGCTGAATTCGTGTGGAACTGAGTCTGGTGACTAAGGCCAGGGGTCCAGTTGAGAAATGTCCCTTTGAGTTCTATGCAATGTGTAATTATAGAGCCCAAGCCTGTGTGGCCGGCAGCCTCGGTCCAGGAGGCAGTCAGATCCAAGTACCTGGTGCTTATCTGTGTCCCAGGCTGCCTCTCCCCCCTGCGCTGGACACTCCAAATCCTAAAGTCACCTCTGACCCAAACCTGGGTGTCCTTCCCACGCCTCCGGCCACCAACCCTGGGGCTACCCCTGCCTGCACCACTCTAGGGAATTAAAATGCTGCTGTCACCGGGCGGTGGTGGCACACGCCTTTGATCCCAGCACTTGGGGGGGCAGAGGCGGGTGGATCTCTGAGTTTGAGGCCAGTCTGGGCTACAGAGTAGGTTCCAGGACAGCCAGGGATACACAGAGAAACCCTGTCTTGGGGGGGGAAAAGTTGCTGTTAAGGGAAGGGATTTATGTATTCTACTCAAGATGACTCAAATAATTGTTTACTTTTTTAAAAAGATTTATTTTTATGTGCATTGGTGTTTTCCTGCTTGTATGTCTACGTGAGGATGGAACTGGAGTTACAGACAGTTGTGAGCTTCCATGTGGGTGCTGGGAATTGAACCCGGGTCCTCTGGAAGAACAGTCAGCGCTCTTAACCCCTGAGCCATCTATTTACTAGCCCTATTTACTTTCATTTTTATTTATTTATTTATTTATATTTTTTTAAGATTTATTTATTTATTATGTATACAGCATGTATGACTGCAGGTCAGAAGAGGGCACCAGATCTCATTACAGATGGTTGTGAGCCACCATGTGGTTCTGGGAATTGAACTCAGGACCTCTGGAAGAGCAGCTAGTGCTCTTAACCTCTGAGCCATCGCTTTTATTTATTTATTTTTTTTTTATTTTTAATGTTAAGTTTATTGAGCGTGCACATGTGTGTGTGTGTGTGTGTGTGTGTGTGTGTGTGTGTGTGTGTGTGTGTGTGTGTGTGTATAAGTCAAGAAGACAGCTTGCTGGCCTTGGTGATTGCTCCCACCGTGTGAATTCTCGAGACTGAACAAAGGTCTTCAAACTTGGCACCAAGCATGTTTCCCCATCAGGCCATCTTGCCAGCCCTTGTTTTTTTGTTTTTTGGGGTTTTTATTAAGATTTATTTTTTATTAATTTTTTTGAGGGGCTAGAAAGATGGCTCAGGTGGTCAAGAGTGCTGGCTGCCCTTGGAGAGGACCCAGGTTCACTTCCCAGCACCTACATGGTGGCTCACAACCCTCTGTAACTCCAGCCTGAAGGCACTAACATACATTCGGGTAAACATGCACATAATAAATAAATAAATATGTGCATGTCTGCACGCACACACGAGTACAGAGCCAGGGATGCCAATGGCATCAGATCCCCCTGAGCTGGATTACAGGAGGTTGGGGGCTACCCAGTACGGGTGCTGGGAATGGAGTACGGCCTCTGCAACAGCAGCCAGTGCTCGTGAGCACTGAACCTTCTCTCCAACCACCTTATTTGGGTTTTGGAGACAGGTCACTCCAAGCAGCCCGGGCTGGTTTGCAATACCCAGCATGCCTTGCTTCCGGAGCGCTGGGATTAGAACCACCTCAGCCAGGTTTTTTGTTTTGTTTTTTAAGATGGGGGGGGGCGAGTGATCTCTAATTTATGGTCCTCCTAAATTAGCCTTCCAAGTATTGAAATTAGAGGCTTATGCCCCCCAAGCCCAGCACAGCCAGGGCCACACAGAGAAATCCTGTCTCAAAAAAAACAAAAAGAAACCTGAAAGTAAAATCAGCTTATAATGAACGTTATTAAAACGTGGACCGGAGAGACCGCTCAGCAATGAAGGGCACAAACTCCTCTTGCAGGGGACCCAAGTTCTGTTTCCCACACCCACATTGGGCAGCTCACATATGCTATCACCTCAGCTTCGTGGGATCCACAGCCTTCTGGCCTCCGAGGGCACCTGTACTCATGTGCACACCCCCATACAAGACACACAGACACACAAGTATTACATAAGTAAAAATAATAGCCTGGCAAGTGGCGCACGCCTTTAAGCCCAGCACTCAGGAGGCAGAGGCAGATGGATCTCTGTGAGTTCAAGGTCAGCCTCGTCTACACAGTGAGTCTCAGGCTAACCAGAGTTACATAGTAAGACCAGGAAATAAATAAATAAATAGACAAAATGCACAAAGGCACACACTTGTAACCTCAGTACTTGGAAGGTGGAGGAGGAGGAGGATCAAGAGTTCAGTTACATATCACTATGTTTGAGGCTAGCCTGTGCTACCTGATAGCCTGCCTAAAAAAACTAAAACAAGAATGATCATAAAAACACAAGAGAAAGGTCTGGATTTGGACCTAATTCCGCAGCTTCTCTCTAGCTGACGCCAAGTAAAGCAAGTCACTTTGTGTCCCCCCAGACTCAGTTTCTCCACCTGTAAAGTGGAGATCATCTCTGGCCCAGCTCCATATTGACTCCTGTGAGATAAAGAACGTTCTGTGAGATCAAGCCCTGACCAGGATGTGTGACATGTGCAGGGGGGGAGAGGCAGAGGGCCCGACGAAGGGCACACAGTGACTGACTACCGAGTGCTCTCAGCAGTCAATACCAGGTAGGTTCCACACCGCCATTAAACCCGTTTTATAACTGAGGGGTGGGCTCAGGGAGGCTGAGGAAAATACCCAACATGCCGACTCTTCAGTGGCCCCACGCCTTCCAACACACCAGGCTGTGGGTGACCCCAGGCCCGTGCCTTGCTGATTGCCTTCCATTATTGTTTCGGATCTGGAAGCTCTGGGGACCCCTTAAACGAACCTCTCCATTACAGTCCTCATACCAATAGCCTAAATGCTGTTGACTTTAAGGTTGTATCTCAAGCCCAGACAGCAGGGCATGCCTGTAATCCTTACTTGGGAGGCAGAGGCAGGCAAACCTCCGGGAATTAGTTCAAGGCCAGCCTGGTCTACACAGTGAGTTCTAGGTCAAGAGTGAAATCTTGACTCAAAAAAATAAAAATTAAAAATACAGCTGCCAAAATGGCTCAGAAAGGGCACTTGCTGATACCCACAAATTAATTCATTGTCCCCTGGACCTCTGTACACATGAACATGGCATGTGTGCCACCCACACATGCAATAAATAAATGTAAAAAATTAAAAATTAGCCTATCTCAGGCTGAGTATGGTGCCACATGCTGGCAATCCCAGCACTCAGGAGCCTTGAGAATTTTGACTTCCAGGCCAGCCTGCACCGGGAGACCCTGGCTACACAGGGAGACCCTGTCTGGGGAGTTGGGGACATCATGGAGAGGCAGGCTAGCCCTTTACTCTCCAGCACCCCTCCCCCACCGCCACTGACAGGGTACACAGGGAAGTGCCTGAGTTGGGTGGAGGGTGGTGTCCTGTCCTTCAGGCTGCTGTGCTGAGGAGAGCTGGGGGTGCAGACACTCCCCTCAGTGGCGGAGTCCATGGGCTGACGCGTCTTGTCCTCAGAGGTGAGTCCCTGTGGCCTCTAGCCTGAGCAGGTGGGGAGAAGCTGAGCTGAGATTAGCTAGTGAGGAGGAGAGGGACAAGGCACCGGAGAGGAGGAGTGGCTGTGACAGGCGACAGGCTCACCATGCCACTGCAGGAGGAGACCCTCCGGGAAGTGTGGGCCTCAGACAGGTGGGAGCCCCCACACCGTCCCATCTGAACCCCAGGCCCCAGTTCCAGGGCCACAGTAGCGGTGGGGAGGCGGGAGAATGCAAGTAGGGAACAGTCCGGTTCCTTTGTACCCTCAGTGGCCATGAAGAGGACTGGCTGAGCCCGGAGCCCCCGCTGCGCCCCAAGCAGGTCTGTCACCGGGTTTAGGGTTTGGAAAGGAGGCACAAAGGGCCCCCCGTGGTGCGCACAGGAAGGTGGCTGTAGGAGAGAGATCCTCTCGCCAGCATCTGCGGCTCTCTACCCGGAGAGTTTAGGAGAAGAACCGGGGTTTAGGGCATGGGGTGCCCAGGAGGACTTGGGGGGCTTTGGGTCTTGGAAGTGACCATCCTGCGTGTATGGGTCATCCACACTGAGAAGGGGCTGCAGCACCCCTTGGGTTAATCCGAGGCTATTTCTGGCGAACCCAAGGGATTAGAGGGGGATGGGAGCCTCAGAGTCCCCTTCTCTCCCCGTGACCCCTATTCCACAGCGACCCACCCAGGGACAGAAGTTGAGGAAGAAGAAGTCCGAGACCCCCGAGTCTCCGGGATCCAAGCCCCGCAGAGCTGGAGGTGAGTCCTGGGGGTGCACCGGGAGGGTGTGGGCAGGGGAGGCCGAAGGGGGGAACCTCCGGGACAGGACCCTGCTGAGCCCCACATCTGGCCCAGCTGGGCGCAGGAAGCTCGAGGAGCCGCCGGCGGACCCCGCCGAGGCGTGCGCTGCGCCGACAGTCTACGCCAAGTTCCTTCGGGACCCCGAGGCCAAGAAGAGGGACCCCAGGGAAACCTTCCTGGTTGCCCGCGCCCCAGATGTGGGAGGCGGTGAGTGAGACACAGGAAGCGAGGGGCAGACATGTGAGCTGTCCCGGGGACGCAGGAGTGACCACCTGGGCACCCAGCCCAGGGGTGGGTTCCCTTGTTCTTTCCCTGTTATACATATGGGGAAACTGAGGCAGCAGGGGCCCAAGCTTTTGTCTTGAGCTACAACTAGTAGCCAAAGTACCCCAGATGGGAACAACAACGGTCAGGAGGGAGGTGACAAGGAGGCAGAGCGGGGGTGGGGGTGGGGGTGGTGGGGGGAGTGCTTCCCACAACAGCCCCCTGCAGGAAGGGCTTGAAGCCTGGCAGCACCCTGCGGGCACTGGACCTCTGAAGCCTGTTACAAGCGTATTCTGTCCATAGAGGAGGATTCGGAGGAGGATTCAGATGACGATGATGAAGAGGCGGAGGAAGGGGGGAAAAAAGAGAAAAGCTCTCTGCCCCCCAGGAGACCACCCAAGGAGAGAGAGAAGAAAGCCAAGGCCCTAGGCCCGCGGGGTAGGTGCAGGACTGACAGGCAGAAAGAGTCCCCTGAGGGGCGGGCGAGACCCCAAAGCTCCCCAGCACCTGGTGCAGAGTGCCTCCCCGGCCTTCTCTCTCTGGCGGTCTCTAAGGAGGTCAGCTCTCAAGGCTGCTGCATGCTGCCAAGGGTGCACATGGAGAAGGAGTGTGTTTTCTTTGGTGAGCTGTTGCTTTGACGTGATGTGGATTAGCGTTACAATTTGTTTTGTTTGTTGTTTTTTATTTTATTTTATTTTTTTCAAGACAGGGTTTCTCTTTGTATCCCAGGCTGTCCTGGAACTGGTTCTGGAGACCAGGCTGGCCTCTAACTCAGAGATCTGCCTGTGTCTGCCTCCTCCCGGGTGCTGGGATTAAAGGCGTGTGCCACCACCACCTGGCTAGCGTTATACTTTTTATTAAGTAGACAAAAGTAAAAAGAAATCTGTGGCTAGAGGCAGTGGGCTCCAGGCCTGGAAGGTCTGGTAAGAAATGTGTAGGATGCTGGGACCTGGTCTCTGTGGAGGGGCAGAGGCTGAGAGCAGGGCGTGGGGAGGGTCTCTGGAGGAGAGCCTGGCGGAGCATCAGGGGCTGAAGTGACCGCCTGGCATCCGCTCACTCATTGCGTCGATGCCTCTTAAGCTGATTCCTAGCCAGATGGGTTTTAGACTCAGAAGAAAGAACATCAGATCCACAGACCACAGAGTTCCCTGTCTGGCTCTCAGCACTGTGGGGACTGGAGGCTGGATGAGGGGGTTAGAAGGTAGTCCCCAGCCCCCCCCCACCCTCCTATTCCCAGGGGACCTAGGAAGCCCTGAAGCCCCCCGGAAACCACCCCGCCCCAAGAAGAAGGAGGCTGGGGAGGGCACCAAGCTGAAAAAGGCAAAGAAGAAAGGTAAGCGGGGTGGTGGACACTGACGGACAGATGGACAGACGGACAGTTGGTGGACAGGGGGTGCTGGGTGTATTGAGATGGTGACCCCTTCTTGTATCCTCTCTGCAGGGGCTGGGGAGACTGACAAGGACCCCGCGAAGAGCCCAGCAGCCCCAAGGAAGAAGATTCCAGCTGCCATGTTCCTGGTTGGGGAAGGTGGCCCGGCTGAGAAGGCTGTGAAGAAGAAAGGTACGTGGCTGAAGGTGACAGGAACATGGACACGTGTGTGCAGTACCACAGAAGGAGTGAGGGCGAGAGCCGGACCATGTGGGGACATCCTGACACTCCTGCTCTGACAGCTGTGTGGCCCCAAGCAGGTGGCCTTCCTGAGGCTCCGATCAGAACCTTTTTATGGCCCTGGAGAGGATTACAGGGAAACCTGGGTGTTGGGAACCCCTGGCCAATCAGGGCAAAGGGTCTTCAGCCTCTCCCCCTCCATTCTCAGGGCCCTCCAAAGGCTCAGAGGAAGAGAAGAAGGAGGAAGAGGAGGAGGAGGAAGAGGAGGACGCTGCAGTGATGAAGAACAGTAACCAGAAAGGCCGGGCGAAGGGGAAAGGCAGAAAGGTTGTCACCGAGGGGCGGGTGTGGGGGACTTTGGGGGTGAGGACTTGGCTCCCCATCTATGATGGGCACAAGGCCCAGGGACATGGGGTTCATGGGGACAGAACAGGCATAGCTCAGGCCACCCATGGACCTTCCACACTCTGTTGTCCAGACTTTCCCTCTGCAGCACAAACATCAGGCAGTCCCCAGCGAGAGAAGACGTGTTAAAATACCCGGAGGCTGAGCAACCAGCATCAGGGCTCTGAATTTGGGGAGGGTGGAGGTGGGGGAATTGGAATGGGATAAGGTCTTGCTCTGTAGCCCAGGCTAGCCTGGAACTCCAGATCTTTCTACCCCCACTGGTACTGGGATTACAGGGGTGAGTCTATGTCTGGCTTCTGTTAGGCACACCTTATACACCTTTGGGGACACTGAGTGGCTGGGAGTTGTCTAGCAGGACCAGCCATTAAATACTTCCACTCCGCTGCTCTGAGTTCATCCCTCAGGACCTCTAGCCTCCCAGCCAGGAAACAGCCCTAGATCCTCGTGCATGCAACCCAGCATAGGGAGGTGGCGGCATCAGGATCAGGTGTTCAGAGCTAACCTCAGCCACACTGTGAGCTTGAGGTCAGCCTGGCCTGTGTGAGACCCTGTCTCCAACAATAAAGCAGGGCTGGAGAAATGGCTCAGCAGTGGGGTGCACTTCGCTTGCCGAGGAACTGGGTGTGATTCCCAGTACCCACATGGCGCCTCACCTTTGGAAGTCCAGTTCCAGGGGATCTGATGCCCTCTTCTGGGCTCTGGAGGCACCAGGCACACACATGGTACACAGACGCACAAGGAGGCAAAACACTCATACAAAGAAAAAGTAAATATTTAAATAAAAATAACCAATTAATCCCTGGCTGCCAAAGGCTCCAGAATCTTCCCCGAAGCTTAGAGTCCATCCTGATTTGACATCTGCCAATGTCAAGACATGTCGCTAAGGACTTCGTATGACAAGCTGTGCACACACTGCTACAGAGACAAGGAGGCCTGGCTGAGAGTGTTAGGACTCTCCTCTAACAAGAAAGTCGTACAAGAGCCAGCCCCCGGCCGAGCTTTGTGGGTTTAATAGTTTGTGTAGGAGTGGCGGATCTTCAGGGATGGATTCGCATTGACTAAGATCCCTGCCGCTGATGTCCCCGGTGTTTTATCCCTGGTGGAAATGGCCTTCCACACAGCAGGTCTTTGAAAGTCACAGGTGTAGAAATGTTTGACTAAGTGACAGTGACTTTTCTCACCTTACATTCCAGGCATAGTCTGTGTTTCCCAAGTTTCTCCTGGAGCAGGCTGGAGTACAGTCAAGATGGCCATTTGCCCCTTGGCCGAGAGCCCCAGGCTGTGCTTTCCCCCCCCCACACACACACACACAGTGTAGAACTGCCCCAGGCAGAAGGCTCCTCAGCCCTCAACAGATAACATTGAAGCCTCAGGTGCTGAAGCCCCCATCCTGATAGGTCAGTTGCCCTCCTGAGGAACTGTCCCCTCACAGAGCAGCAGGAGAAAGGGCACCAGGTCTCACCCTGCCCCCTTCTGTAAGCGAAGTGTTACTAGAAAATTCTCCAACAGCAAAGTAAGCTGACACATTCATGAGTCAGCTGTGTCTGTCTGTCTTGCTGCGTAACAAATGGCCTCCAAGCTTTAGTGTCTTCAAATACGGAGCCAGCTTTTCTACTTAATTTCTTAGTTTCTCTCTCTCTCTCTCTCTCTCTCTCTCTCTCTCTCTCTCTCTCTCTCTCTCTCTCTCTCTCCATAGATAGATAGATAGAGAGATAGATAAATAGATAGATAGCTTTTTTTTTTTTTTTTTTTTTTTTTTTTTTTAGTTTTTCAAGACAGGGTTTCTAGAGATCCGCCTGGCTCTGCCTCCCTAGTGCTGGGATTAAAGGCGTGTGCCACCACCACCTGGCCCTACTTAGTTTCTAAGGGTCATATATCTAGAGACAGCTCAGGGTGTCACACAAGGCTGTAGTCACCTGAAAGGCTGGCTAGGAATGGACAGTTCATTTCTAAAGTAGTTCAGTCATGGTTGTGGGTTGGAGACCTCTCTTCCTCTCCTGTAGCATTGGCATGACCCCAATTTCTGTATAACAGGGACAGCTACCCCTGTGTGTTAATGAGAATGCGAAGAGTCAGTATTTGGAGAGCTAGGCATGGTGGTGCACACCTCCACTCCAGGCACTGGAAGGCTAAGGAGGATTGCAGTGAGGCCAGCCTGGGCTACGGAGTGGGTTTGAGGCCAGTCTTGGCCTTATAGTGAAACCCTCTCTCGAATAAAAAAAATAGGGACTGAAGAGATGGTTCAATGGTTAAGAGCATTTGCTGCTCTCACAGAGGACCTGGGTTCAGTTCCCAGCACCCACATGATGGCTTATAACAATTTATAACTGCAGTTTCCAGGGGATCCTGTACCCTCTTCTGGCCACCAAAGGCACCAGACACACACTCATGTGGTGTACAGACAGACATGCAGACAAAATACTCACATATATTACAAAAGAACAAAACAAAAGCAAAAATACTATCACTACCACCACAGGGCCAGATGTGGTAGGTAGCTCATAGCTGTTATCCCAGGACTTGGGAGGTGAAGGCAGGAGGATCAGGAGTTTGAGCCCAGCCTCCTCAACATACTGAGTTCAAGGCCAGCCTGGGCTATATGAGACTCTGTCTTTAAAAATGAAAATGGGATTGGAGAGATGGCTCAGCAGTTAAGAGCACTGACTGCTCTTCCAGAGGACCAGGGTTCAATTCCCAGCACCCACATGGTGACTCACAACCGTAACTGCAATTCCAGGCGACCTGACACTGTCACACAGACATAAATGCAGGCAAAACACCAATGCACGGAGAATAAGAACATATAGATTAAATCTGTATGTCGTATGCAAATGAAAACAGGAAAAGAAGTTGTAGCCGGCGGCGGACAGCCCCTAGTGGTGGAACCTGAAATCAGACTGTGACTGATGGAGCTCAAGCTGAATAGTCATATTAAATCACAGAATTCCAGAGCCTTCTATCTGAGGTTGCGCTGTGCGGGTTGGAGGCGCCTCAGCTCCCATGTCTGGATGCTAGACCTATCTATCTCTTTTCTCCCTCCAGAAAGCGGTGAGTGATGGCCTGTCCTGCCTGGGGTGCAGAAAGGGACCCATGGTGTGGGGTGTCCTGGCTGATGCACCGTCTGCCCGTGCAGAAGGAGGAGAGGGCCCCGTCTCCCCCTGTGGAAGTGGGTGAACCCCGGGAGTTCGTGCTGCAGCCGGCGCCCCAGGGCAGGGCAGTGCGCTGCCGGCTGACACGGGACAAGAAGGGCATGGACCGCGGCATGTACCCGTCCTACTTCCTGCACCTGGACACGGAGAAGAAGGTCCTGAGAAAGGGGCTGGGTGTGTCTAGGGCTGGGGGCAGTGGCTAGGGCCTCCCTGGTCCCCCAGCTCCATCTGCCTCACTCAGTCACCTCTGACCCGTTCTCCGCAGGTGTTCCTCTTGGCTGGCAGGAAACGCAAGCGCAGTAAGACAGCCAATTACCTCATCTCCAGAGACCCTACCAACTTGTCCAGGGGAGGGGAGGATTTCATCGGAAAGCTGAGGTTCGGCTGTGCTTCTGGGCCACTGGCGGCAGTCACTTCTGTCCCACTGTGGGTGGCAGAGTGTCCCCCACATAGGATGCTCCAGAGACATCCCTCAGCCTAGGGCATCTCACACTCCGACATGCATGGATCTCTTGGGGACCTGGTCTAGATGGTTTTGTGGGCTTGGGATAGGCCCCTGGCCTTGCATGTCAGCATCTCCCCCGAGGGGCGGGGACTGCGCAGACCTGACCAAGGCTCCTCCGGCAGAGATGGACTCTAGCTCCATGAGGCAGGGCCAGGCCTGTAGCCCAGCTCCCACATAGCGTCTTCTCAGAGGAGGTATACTACTGGGTGTGGTGGTACACGTCTGTAATCCCAGCACTTGGTGAGTAGAGAAAAAAGTAGCAGGAGTTCAAGGTCACCCTTAGCTGTTTAAGGAACTTGGAGCCAGCCTGGGCTACATTAGCCACCCCCTAAGAAAGAGGAGAGAGAGAAAGAGATGTAGCTCAGTTGATAGAGTATTTGCTTAATCAGGTTTGATCCTAGCACCACATAAACCAGGTGTCATGGAACACATCTGTAAAACCAGCACCCGGAGGCAGAGGCAGGAGGGTCCACATTAAGGCCAGCCTGGACTACATCCTGAGACACTGTCTCAAAAGCAAACGAGCCGGGCGGTGGTGGCGCACGCCTTTGATCCCAGCACTCGGGAGGCAGAGCCAGGCAGATCTCTGTGAGTTCGAGGCCAGCCTGGGCTACCAAGTGAGTTCCAGGAGAGGCGCAAAGCTACACAGAGAAACCCTGTCTCGAAAAACCAAAAAAAAAAAAAAAAAAAAAAAAAAAAGCAAACGAAAGCGATATTTACGGAGTGAATGAACAAGTGAAGGGAGGCTCCATGTGACCAGGCAGGCTTCCTGTATGGCGCCTCAGCTACCCACTAGTCTGAAAAGACTTATTTACTTCATTTGTGCATTTAACAAACACTATTTGGGGCCCGCCGGTGCCTCAGGCACAGTTCTAAGCACTTTTCCAATATTAACCAGATATTTCATCCTTTAATCAACCAAACCAGAGGAGGATTAGAGCTCTGATGATTTACAGGTGGGAAAGCTGGGGTCCAGCGAGATGGCCCATGGGGTAAAGGTTCTTGTCAGCAAGCCCGATGACCTGAGCTCAATCCCTGGGACCCACATGACAGAAGGAGAGAACTGATTCCTGAACGCTGTCCTCTGACCTCCCTGTGTGCATGGCCACACATGTACATTCATTAAGTCAACTTTCAAAATAATCCGCTCAAGTGGGACCGTTGAGACTTTCCTGTTTCCTAGGGCCACACAGATGGAGACAAAATTTGAATGTTTTTTTTTTTTTGAGACAGGGTCTCATGTAGCCTAGGCTGGTTTGGACCTCACGATGTGGTGGCAGATGACCTTGGATTCCCAGTCTTCTGCTTGCACCTGCCAAATGCACAGTTACTGCCCCCCCCCCCTGCTTTTCTTGCAGCTGGGGATTGAACCAAGAGCCTCGGGCATGCAAAGAAGTGCTCCACCACTGAGCCCCGCAGCAAGGCTGTCTCAAAATAACCATGATTAGTAGTAATTTCAAAAACTCTCCCTTCAAGGGAAGCCTGGATCGGGGCACATGACACGCTGACTCCCAAGGCACACACTGCCCCTTGCTCTTGAACTGGGGGGGTTATGGGAAGGGTTTTGGAATGAGAGGTGGGAGGTATCCTTTTGCCCTGGCTCAACTCTTTTCCCACCCTCAGGTCCAATCTCCTGGGCAACCGCTTCACGGTCTTTGACAACGGGCAGAACCCACAGCGCGGTGGCGGAGGTGTGGAGGTGGGGAGCCTGCGCCAGGAGCTGGCAGCTGTCGTCTATGTGAGAAGCCACCCTCCCCACCATGCCAGGCTCTCCTCAGGTAGGATGCGGCCTGACGTCGTCCGTCTCTCTCTTTCAGGAAACCAATGTTTTAGGGTTCCGAGGACCCCGACGCATGACGGTCATCATCCCCGGAATGAACTCGGACAATGAGAGGGTCCCTATCCGGCCCCGAAATGTGAGCCTCCACCTTCCTACCCCTTGTCCCTGGGAGCCTGGCTCTCTACTGACCCACTCAGGGAGATCAGGGCCAGGAACTCAGCCTGCCCACGTGAGTCTCTTGAGTACACTTGTCGCAGTTTCCTCCGGTCGGTCACTTGTGGAATGGACTCAGGTTCTCTGTCGCTGAATTCATGCCACGCATGGTGGCACTCTCCTGTAACCCCAGAAGTTGGGAGGTGAAGGCAGGCAGATCAGTAATTGAGGGCCATCTCTAGGTACACATGGAGGGTTCTAGGCTAGCCTAAGCTACTCGAAACCCTGTCTCAAAGAAATAAAGAGCGCTGGAGAGCTGGCGAGCTGGCTCAGCAGTTAAGAGCACACATTGCTCTTTCAAAGGACCTGAGATTGTTTTTGTTTTTGTTTTTTGGGGGACGACTATTGTTTCGGCGGCAGGGTCTCACTATGTAGTCCGGACTGGCCTTGAACTCACAGGGATCTGCCTGTCTCTGCCTCCAGAGCACTGGCGTGAAAGGCGTGAGCCACCGTGAAGCAATGTGATCCCTATGAGGCTGTAATCAGGGCAGGAGGTAGACAGCAGACAGTGACGTGATGAATGAGCAAAGGGTGAGAGAAGGGAGAAGGTGGTAACTGTTACGGGATGCCAAGAGGACCAGAGGGGGCAGCTGAGGCACATGCCTGTCATACGGTTTCAATATCAGGCCTCAGTGATGCAAGGTGAGGAGTCTTTAGCGTCTGGTATCTAGGTTTAGGGCAATGGCATCCAGAGAGGACAGCCTGTGCAAAGGCCCTGGGGCAGCAGGTACCTGATGGGTTGAGGATCAGTAAGGTGACCATCATGGATAAAGAGCTTGAGGGCAGAGGTAGTTCTAAGGGGCACAAGGGTGCCTGTTTAACTGGCTTTTGTTCTGAGAGAACTGGGAAGTCATAGCAGGGTTCTAAGCTATGACTTACAAGGTTCAAGGAATGACACTCTAAAGAGGCCAAGCTGGAGTATGTGCAGTGTGGAAAAGAGGGGAAACTGCCCTGGGTTCTGTCGCTCTTGCAGGCTGGGTGAGCCTAGGATTTCAGGGACCCATTGGTCTCTGGCATGTCCCATGCTCCTGGGTGACTGATGAAAATAATACCCCTGTCAGCTGCCCATTCATCCTCCCTGCTGGGAGGCCAGGCTGTCATTGGAGGCCAATCTGGCTAGGAAGCTGGGACTTACAGGTCCTAGTCGCTACTTCTAAGTCCAGTGAGTAAGAACCCAGGTCCAAATGTGACACAGCACAGAGATCAGAATGCTACCTGCTGAGCCAGGGTGATTCACCTGGCAGGCACTAGGTGCTGGGTTCCATCCCCAGCACCATGAAAACCAGGCATCATGGTTCATGCCTACAATCCCAGCACTCAGAAGGTAGAGGCAAGAGGATCGGAACTGTAAGGTTATCCTCAGCTACACAGGGAGTTTGATGCTAGCCTGGGCTATGTGGGACCCTGACACCACACACACATATAATAATAATAATAATAATAATAATAATAATAATAATAATAATAATAATAATATAAAGGGCTTGGAGATATCTCTGTCAATAAAACACCTGCTGTACAAGCAAGAGGACCTGAGAGGAGATCCCCAACACCCATGTAAAAGCTGGGCACACTGGTGTGTACCTGTAACCCAGCACTAGGCGGGAGGAGATGGGTGGATCCCCAAATGCATTGATCACCCAGTCTAGCTCAATCAATGAGCTCCAGGTTCAGTGGGAGACCAGAGCATGAAGAGTGGCACATAACTCCTCCTGGGTGCCAACTGAGCCTTTCCGCTCTCTGCCAGCGCATCCCCAACAAGACCCGTTCTCAGCACTGCCCTTCCCTCCCCGTGTCTGCTGACACCCTCTGTGGACATCGCAGCACACACATCCTGGCCCCCTGAGCGAGCCCGGCCGCCCCTAACTGTCCTTTGTTACCTCCCCTTGGGCACCCCAGTCCAGCGATGGGCTGCTGGTTCGCTGGCAGAACAAGACGCTGGAGAGCCTCATCGAGCTGCATAACAAGCCGCCCATCTGGAATGAGGACAGTGGCTCCTACACCCTCAACTTCCAGGGCCGGGTCACCCAGGCCTCCGTCAAGAACTTTCAGATTGTACACGCTGATGACCGTGAGTATCTGAGGGTCCTCTCTCTCTCTGTCCTTCTTGACTCTGGGTTGGGAAGGGGCTCAGATAGTCCAGGCAAAAGTCTTGGGGTTCACTAGGACGAGTTCGTGACCTAGCGTTGACCAGGACCCTTGGGTAGGTGCTGAGACATTCCCGGTGGTATCGTGATGAGGAGAGGGATGAGCTGCTGGCATCTGGAAACCACCCAGAGTCTAACTAACCCCTTTGTGTGGAGTAGGTGGTGGGGCCAAAGGCCGCACAGTGGAAATGAAAGTTAGAACTTATTGTGTTCAAGATAATTGTCTTAAAACAAGGTCTCGCTATATAGTCCTGGCTGTCTTGAACCTTTCTATGAGGACCTGGCTAGCCTCGAACTCACAGAGATCCCCCTGCCTCTGCTTGGATTGAAGGTATGGCCACCATTGCCCTACCAAAATAGAGGATTGTCTTTTGCGCGCGGGGTGGGGCCTTTTCGTTTTTCAAAACAGGGCTTCTCTGTGTAACATATCCTGGAAATCTTTGTAGACCAGGCAGAGATCCCCCTGCCTCTGCCTCCCAAATGCTGGGATTAAAGGGATTTGCCACCACATCCAGCAAGGGTTATCTTTTAAGAACAGGGATTGTAGCCGGGCGATGGTGGCGCATGCCTTTAATCCCAGCACTCGGGAGGCAGAGCTAGGTGGATCTCTGTGAGTTCGAAGCCAGCCTGGGCTACAGAGTGAGATCCAGGACAGGCACCAAAACTACACAGAGAAGCCCTGTCTTGAAAAAACAAAACAAAACAAAAAAACCCCCAAAAAACCCTCAACCAACCAACCAACCAAACAAATAAACAAAAACAACAGGGATTGTTAGGGCTTTGGGGGGAGGCATACACCACTACCTTCCATGTCTGTGTGTGCGTCAGGGGACAATCTGCAGAAGCCACTTCTCTCCCCCCATCAATTGAGCCCCAGGAATCAAATTCAGGTCGTCAGCCTTGGCAGGAAGCTCTAAGAGTAGGGGATGGAGACCATGCATTTCTAAATGTCCACAACTTGTTTTTTAAGATTTATTACTTTTATGTGTGTGTGCCTACATGAGTTATGTGCACCTTGTGTGTGCAGGTGCCCACAGAGGCCAGAGGGTGTCAGATCCCCTGGAACCAGAGTTTCAGGCAGTCGGATGGGTACTGGGTCCTCCCGCAAGAGCAGTAAGTGCTCTTAACTGCTGAGCCATCTCTCCAGCCCTGTACATCCTCTCACAGACTGCCCCTGAGGACTTACTTAGGGGGTCTCCAGAGCACAAATGTCCCTGTCACAGCTTGGGCAAGCGGTCCCACCAGTACTGTACAAAAGACTCCAGGGTCAGAGAGTTGGACCGGGATCATGCAACCTCCACCCCATTCTGTCCCAGAGCTGTCCCCAGTATCTCATGTCCCCTGGCCTTGGGACTTTTCAACAGGCCAGTTCCTGTGGGAACCTGGTCTGCTACCAGAACAGGGTAGAGGGGTTTTTGTTTTAAAGCAGCTTCCCATTCCTACCCACGCTGGGAGAGAGGTGCTGAGATCCAGGCTGGGAAGCCTGTTGGGTGGTCCTGCCTGTTGTCCCGGTGACCAGCCTGGTTCTCGGACTCAGGACAGCCAGAGCATTTGGATTAGGAGCTCAAGGCCAGCCTTGGCTATACAAAGAGAGAAGGGAGAGAGGGAGGGAAGGGTGGGGGAAAGGTTGATTGATTGAAAGTGATTGGAACCGATAGCTCTCGGAGCAGGAGCGGCCTGAGTCTAGTGGCAACTTGGGAAGGAAGGGAACACCTGGTTAGAGAAGGACCTGAACCAGGGTCGAATGTGGGCCTTATGGACTGGGGGCTGGGCAGAGGAATGAGGCCAAAAGACAACAGAAAAGTCGTGAGGGAAGGGTTCTGGTTTGGTCAAGTTTGTTGGGCTCCTGGACTGCTAGATTACAGGTTTGCAGTAGCCCCGGGCAAACCTGATAAGGTGGGGCTCCTGCCCTGAGGACTTGGTGTGGCAGACCCTATACAGGCGAGGCTCGCTGGATGACACGGAAAAGGGAAGGCGGCCCGAGGCTGCCTGGGGGCTGTGACTGCAAACCAAGGAGAAAGACCTCCCGGTGTTAAGGGGTTGCTTGCCAAGATGGGGTCCGAAAGTCACCCCATTGTCTCTTCACAGCCGACTATATAGTGCTCCAGTTCGGTCGGGTAGCTGAGGACGCCTTCACCCTGGACTACCGGTACCCGCTGTGCGCCCTGCAAGCCTTCGCCATCGCGCTCTCCAGCTTCGATGGGAAGCTGGCCTGCGAATGACCCCGCAGCTCCTCAGCGCTGAGAAAGCATTCAGTTGGGGGTGGCAGGGTCCCTCTCCCACAACCCCCACAAAAGGGCTCACCCCTCCGCCTCTCGGTGACCTCCGCGCACCCCCAGCCTAGCACCAGCCAGGCGGAGCTGCTCTGACCAGCTGGGATGGAGATGAACATCTGGTCGCACAGCCATGCCTGCCTCGCCCCCTCCTCCCCAGTCACTTCCTGCCCGGGAGACTAGTCAGATGTTCGAGGCCTCTCCGGACCCGCGCTGGGGGAACGGAGAAGCAGAACCAGGGACCCACATGTTCAATAAAGTCACATCCCGGACTGAACGCAGCGGTAATTCCTGGATGTCTGCTTGTAGACCCAGGTGTCCACGCGTGCTCTGAGCTTGCTTGTCCCCTTCTCCCGTCGTCCTATCGATCCTCGGCGGGAGCTCAGGGTCGGGCCCCCGACTCTCCAGGCGGCAGGGCGGAGAGGGAGGGGCCCCAGAGGTCCAGGAAGAGGGAGAAAGGGAGAAATTCGAGAAACAAGCCACTCGGGGAGAACCAGACAAACCGGGTCCGGGCAGGGCGGAGCCGGGTCTGGGGCCCCGCAGTGAGGGGGCGGGCTCTCGGTGGGAGGGGCGCTGCAGAGGCCTGGGCTGCGGAGGACCGGGAGTGGAAGGGTGGGGAGCCCCGAGACCCCGTGCGTGCTCGGGCGCCGCTTGGATGCGCGGGACGCGGCTCCCCAGGACCCCCGACACCTCCAGGAGTCCGGCCCAGGGGGCCGAGCTCCACTCTTGGCTCCGCCCCAGGCCTGATCCCCAAGATTCAGCGGGAGGGGGTAGTTTAGGGAGGTGGGGACTCTGAGATGGCGAGCGAGAACTGGGGTGCGCGGGAAGGTGAATCCGCAGTGACGGGCGTTCTTGGGGCTGGGTGGTCAGAGAGACCGCAGGCCGGGGCCCCGCCTTAGACCACGCCCCCAACCAGCACCGCCCACCCACGGCCCCGCCCAGCGCCGGCCCCGCCCACAGGCCCCGCCCCTCTAGCCCGCAGCCCCCACCCCCCGCCCGGCTCCTCAACACAAACTTTCCGTCCCGCTCGCTCCCTCCTCCGCGCCCAGCACCTCCCGCTCCGGCCCGGCTCATTCCGTGCATTCCGGCCATCCCCCTGCCCACGACCCCCCTTCCCAGCCCCCCTCGCTACTCCCTCGGGCCCGGAGGAACGGCCCGGCGGAGCGCCCCCCGGAGCTCGGAGCAGGTAAGCCCGGGGGACGCAACTCGGAGGCCTCGCGCGCGGAGGTGACTGCTCGGGTGGCTTCTGGATGGCGGGGACGCGGGACACTCTGGGGGCTCTGAGCTATTGTCCAGCCTGCGCCCCAGCCCAAGACTTGGGTGCCGGGAAGTTTGGAGGGAAGGGGGGAGACGCTCTCCGGGAAGCCCCGCCCACCCCCCACCCCCCCGCGCCCCGGAGGCTGGGAAGCCCGGAGTGTCCCGGGTGCCCGGGCCTGGCCCCGCCGTGTGCCGGGGTGTGCGCCCGGAGCCGCGGGCTAGGAGGGCCTGCCGCCGGGACTCGTATCCGGGGCGCCCTTTGGACTCCGGGAGCCCGCGGGCCCCGGGCTCCACGCAGGCCTTGGCCAGGGCGCGTCGGTGTGAGCGCTGCTCGCCGCTGCGCTGGGACCCGGCCGGGCGTCGGGAAGCCACACCGCGAGCCCCGAGCGTGCGTGTGCGCACCCAAGGGGGACGCCTGTCCCCTCCAGTTCTGCGGCCCACGTCAGGGAGAGGGCTTCAGAGTCCCAGCCCCGAGCTCCAGGAGCCTCGCTCGGGACGCGGCTTCACTTGGGGCCTTCTCCGCACTTCTCCGGAGAACTCGTTAAGGCAATTGAGGGCATCTGGTTTTCCCTTCCCACTCGGGTCCTCTCCATTGTCTGTCACGTCTTTATTCCTTCTTGGGAAGGGAGGCCGGAGTGCTGGTGTGGATCTGTTTTCTAGCCCCAGCAGGCCCTGGGGCAGTGTCACTGAAGCCCCTACTCTACCCCCACCCCCCATAGGGGCCCTGATTGAGGGCTTCGATTCTTAAAGAGCAAGAGGGAACGAGGTCCGGGCCCGGGCTTCTCGGGGCCTGTGTCCCGAGCTCTCCAGGTAGGGGCAGAACCAAGGCAGGCCTGGACTTGTAGCCCAGCCGGGAGGATGGGGGTGGGGGCTGGACACAGCTCTGAGGGGCTGGTGTCCATGGTGGCTCCGTGTATTCGCGCTCCCCTGGTCTGGTTCTGTGTACACAGGGTTCCGCCTCAGTGCTGGGGTCTGGGACACCCTCCGGCGGGGGGTTGCTGTCGCCTGGGGCCGGGAGGGAAAGCAGATTGAAGCTGGAGGTTTAGGGAGACTATGGCTCTGCCCTTCCTAGCCCCCGGACCTCCCTCGGAGACTCCCTTCTCCACACGTCTTCCGATCACTTGTTAAAGCCATTGAGGGCGGCTGGTTTTCCTTTCCCACTCGGGTCTTCTCATTGTCCGTCATGCTTTTTTATTCTTTCATGGGAAGGACGTCTACTCACCCTAGTGTGGCCAAGAGTAGACATGATGGCTGGATACCCCTCCTCAGGGAGGGGCTGGAAGCCAGGCCTTCCCCACCCCCAGGGAGGGAGCTGTAATTAATGCTAATTAGCACTTTGGGGCTGGGGATGGTGGAACAGAATGGTCAGTGGTTGGCAGGAGATCTTTGAGTGTGTGCACACACACGTAGGTGAGTGTCTATCCAGAGCTCTGCACCCACCAACACTGTGAATTTTTGCACCCTATCCTGTTATGCTGTCTGGAGAAGGGACAACTCAGCTGAGGTCAGGGAGACAGGTCTCTGTCCCCTGTTGGGCCAGCTGTGTTGGTGGCTCCTCAGGTGCCTAATCCCTGAGCCCCCGCAGAGGCTTGTCCTGTCTGGCTTCAGCCTCCTCTCATCATGGAAACTGAACCTGGAGGGGTCTTGAGAGGTGGGTGGGTGGCCCCAGATGGTGCAAAGAAGCGGGCAATAAAGTCTTGGGGGGTGTAGTTAAAGGATGGATGAGAGGTAGCCGAAGAGGGGTGAAAAAACAGGGAGGCTGTGGAGTTGGGGGTGCTTGCCCTTGTAAGTGGGGTTCAGAGGCCACTGGATGGCTGGCTACCCCCATCTTCAGTCCCAGAACCTTTCAGGGCCCCCTGGGGCTCCGTATAGGAGCTTACTGGAACGGAAGCCACCAGTCCTATCCTCAGTGGATGCAGAGGTGCTGAGGGTCGGAGGGTGGACTCCTGCTGGAGGAACCAGGAGGTCCCAGCCCTGTCGCCCGTGGGTCACAGGAGCTGCGAGCAGCCCTGGGACCCCAGCCCGAGCCTCTCTGGTTAGAGCTGGGGATCATCGGCAGGTTGCTGCGGTCCCTGTGAGCACGGCAGGTGCTACCTGTCTCCAGGCCCGGAATCCAGACCCAGATCCCCAAAGCCTCAGCGCTTGGGCTTTCCTCGAATGCCGATTGTTTCCTGGACTCCCTGCCAGGCCTGACAGGACAGGAAGTGATAGAGGGAAATGAGAGTGCGGCTGTGTGGGGCTGGGTTTGAGCAGACCAGAGGAGCGAGAGGGGTCATCTGTGGGGGACACACTGTGCAGTGGGTGTGTGTGGGAAAGGACCCAGAAACAGACTTGGTGACCATACGTGAGGAAAGCTGTCTGTGGCGGCGACGTGTGTGAGAGCCGCCGTGATGTTCTCCATCCTCATGGTCGTGAGAGAAACTGAGAGCTTGGGCTGGTGAGATGGCTCTCCCTGGGGGTAGAAGGGTGCTTGTCGCCAAGCTTGCTGATCTGTGTTCAGTGTCAGGGCCCACACGGTGGAGAGAGAGCCCATGAGAATCAGGTGTGTAAGTTGGTTGGGGAGTGGGATTTCTGTGTGTGTGTGTGTGTGTGTGTGTGTGTGTGTCTGAGTGTGTCTGAGAAGCTGCCTAGGTGACTTTTTTTTTTTTTTCCCGGAGCTGAGGACCGAACCCAGGGCCTTGTGCTTGCTAGGCAAGCGCTCTACCACTGAGCTAAATCCCCAACACCCGAGACCCGAGGTGACTTTCTGTTGTCAGGCATCACACTGGGGTAATCGCTAAGGAAACTGTGAATCTGCCTGTGGCACTGGCAGTGTGAGGGACAGGTGATGCTATGATGCTATGTGAGGGGTATTCCATGTGACCTGTCATGCCATGGTGTGGCCACTTCTCTTGCCAGTTGTGAAATGAGTGAGGTGGCTCTGGGTTTGTCTGCGTGACTGTTGATGACACTGTACACGGGTACAATGACAGGATCCACCGCCACTGATGTGTGTGAGGGTGCCGTGGGTGCTGAGGAGCTGAGCGCGATATTTGCATCCAGTTGTAAGTGAAGGCAGCCTGGGAGAGACAGCCAGTCTGTGGCGCCCTGTGTGAGAAACTGGGGTGTGACTGAGACTGACGCCGTGGGTGGTCACTGTCTCAGCTTGTGTGGGTGACATCCTCAGGGCTATGCCACACAGGGTGTGGGGGCCTGTGACCCTAATGCATGTGGCATCTATCTGGAAGGCCTTGAAAAAGATACTGTAAAGCTGGACGGTGGTGGCGCACACCTTTAATCCCAGCACTTAGGAGGCAGAGGCAGACGGATCTCTGTGTTTTCAAGGCCAACCTGGTCTACAGAGCGAGATCCAGGACAGCCAGGGCTACATGTCTCAAAAAAAAAAAAAAAAAAAAATACTGTGAAAGAGAAGGCATGCATGCCCAGTGGAATCCCAGCACTAGGGAGGCTGAGTGAGGCATGGGTTCAAGGCTAGCCAGGGCTATACATGAGACTCAATCTCCGATAGAGAGAGAAATGAAAAGGTCTAACGTGTAGATGTGATGATGTGTATGTATTTATTTTCATTCACACTTGCAACCCCAACACTTAAGAGGCTGAGGTGTGAGGATGGTTGAGTTCAAGGCCAGTCAGAACTACAAAGTAAGACCTTTTATCAAAACCCAATAAGGAAAAAAAAAGTGGTTAAAATGATCAATTTTTGTTATAATACACATAATCCTTACTTGAATTTTTCCTCACACTTGTAAACCCCAACACTTGCGAGTACCACAAGTTTGAGAGGGGCCTAGGTTACAGGCATGAAGACCTGAAGACCTGCTTTCATAAAGGGGTGGTGGGGTCCCTGAGATGGCTCGGTGGGAAAAGGTGCTTGCTGCCAAGCCTGGTGTCCTGGGTTTGATCTTCGGAACCTATGTGGTGTGGAGGGAGGGTGGAAAGACTGCCTTCCACACGTGCACTGTGGCGCTGTGGCCTATGCACACGCACGTGCGCGCACACACAAACAAA